AAAAAAAAAAACAACCGCTCCAGGTCCAGTGTCCCTTTCATCGTAATCTACCCGACCCATGCAACGCTTCCCCGCGTTATCATGGAGGGACCCTGAGACAGCAGCATTGATTACTTCCTCTCTCCGAGCCTCTTTTTGCCGAGGTGGAGTACAACTACACAGTGCACACCAAGCTTTTGCTTTTTTTTTTTTTTTTTTTTTGGAAAAATGGCCCCTGCGATATCCCTCTATCCTGACAGTGGTAAGAGAACCGTCAGAATTGCTGACGCACCAGCGCGACCTTTTTTGTTTTGTTTTTGTGGGTGCTGCCCGCCATTTTGGTCCGGTGCCGCCCGGCCTCTGAAGAATGCGGTATAGGTTATATTAATAATAAATATTAATAATTTAATATATTACAACTTCGCCTCCCTAACCCCTTCTTGGCTCACGAACGTAATTTTAAATTTTTACAGGGGGTTTCCTACCCTATCAAGTTTCTGTGATCACTAAGTGCTCCTTTCATGGCATACCAACACTAGTAGGACTTTTTAGACAGAGATCTGCATTCATCTGATGCGAATTGGAGTCAGATGCATCCAGGTTTGGCCGTAATTGAAAGAGCGAGACTTCTCTCATGGCATATACTCATACCAGGACTTCTTCCACTGAGCTCTGGACGTGGACGGGAATTGCAGTCAGATGCATGCAGGTTTGGCTGTAGTTGGAGCCATATAAATTTGAAAGAGCCAAAGTTAAGTATTGGCTCAGCCACTCAGGCTGCCTGGTGTCTTCCTACAATGCTGGAGCAGCCTTCGTTTTTTTTTTTTTTCAAAAAATTTGGACCATTTCTCGATTTATGTGTGTCATCCTTGCGCAGGGGCCATGCTAATCTTCTGTGTATCGTTCCAATTTTAACGGATGTCCCGAAGGACATGCTGGAGCATCCTTCAATGGCAACATATTAGAAAAAAAGCAAAATATTCACTGACGCAGTGACAATCTATATAACAGGACCAAACAGAACAAACAAAACCGGACAAAACTGGATGAAACGGCACAAAAAAGGCCAAAACAAAATAGGACAAAACAGGATGTAGTTATATATCCATACATCTGGGGCTGAGGCCCTCCTCCATGCAAGAACAGATTCAAACCGGCGACCTTGGCCGAATGAAACAGGACAAAACAGGACGAGACATGGTGAAACACGACGGAACAGGCTGAAACAGGACAACACAAGACGGAACCACGGGTCGCCAATTCGAATCGGTGCTTGCATGGAGGCCCTCCTCCATGCAAAACAGTAGTTATAGATCCATAGTACTCCATACATCTGGGCCTGAGGCCCTCCTCCGTGCACGCACAGATTCGAACTGGCGAGCTCGGCCGAACGAAACAGGACGAAACAGGACGAAACAGGACGAAACAGGACGAAACAGGACGAAACAGGACAAAACAGGACAAAACAGGACGAACCAGGACAAGACATGGACGACGCAGGACGAGACATGGACAAAACAGGACAAAACAGGACGATACAGGACGAAACAGGACGAAACGGGATGAAACAGGACGAAACAGGACGAAGCAGGACGAGACATGGACAAAACAGGACACGACAGGACGAAACAGGACGAAGCAGGACGAGACATGGACGAACCAGGACGAGACATGGTGAAACACAACAAAACAGGATGAAACAGGACAAAACAAGATGGAATCACAGGATGAAACAGCAGGATGCAACAGGAAAGCAGTCCTTCGGGACATCAGTTAAAATTGGAATTTGGAACGATCCAGAGAGGATTAGCATGGCTCCGGAGCCTTGAAGGACGACACACACAATCGACAAGTGGTCCTTTTATCTTTTTTAGCAGATAAGGCGGAGGTGGTGTGAACAAGAAGCAGGTCGGAACAGGAACAAACAGGAAGGAGGAGGTGTGAACGAAACCCCGTAGTTATCGGTGGGTGGTGGGTGGTGGGTGGGTGGGGGAGGAGAGTCAACCTCCACGCACACAGCAGTGTGCAGTCATGAAGAAGAGCTGTCCTTGTGACTTCATGTAGCGGCTTGATCACGTCGTCCTGAACAACAGTAGGCAAACAAGCAAACCCACAAGAGAACAATGGAAATAGAGTAGATGTTCATCACCACGTCTTCGAGACTTTGAACGAGTTTTCCGCCTCAGTTATGTGTGCATTAGTTTCCTGAGAAATCGAACAACAGCAGAAGGATAATCTGCAGATGATCCCGTTCTACTTATCAATACAATCATTCTCTCTCTCAATACAATCATTCTCTCTCTCTCTCTCTCTCTCTCTCTCTCTCTCTCTCTCTCTCTC